AGTTCCAGCTACTTGTAGCTGAGCTCTGGGCTATAGAGCAAGACTTGGTCTCAAAACAACAACAACAACACACACACACACACACTCTGGACCCCCAGGGCTTGGCACAGAGGGAACCTGGGATATGTCTAACTGAAGGCTTGGCCTATGGAACAACTATGAATGAGTTTCAGGGACGTAGAGCCCACCTCCAGCAGGCTCCCCAGTCGGGCTGCCCCTGCTACAAACTTCCCACTCCTTACTGCCACCTCTTCATCCATCAAACACTTATCAGTCCCATGTCCCATTCCCTTGGGGCTACCTAGTTGGCACCAAACAGAATCCAATCACAGCTTAGAGACTCCCGGGGGTAATGTAGTAATTCCAGGCAAAGGGTCAAGCAGGGAAGAGGGAGAGTGGGAACTGTCCAATGTCCCCCTCCACAGTGAGTGTTTGAGCCACCCGGGAAAAGTTAACTTCTCCATGGGGAGGGGATAATCTCATGCTTCAGTCAGACTCCCAGCTGCAAGCAAAAGAATGTGCCAACACACAAGGCAGTACTGGCTCCTGACGTCTTGTCGGGTTGGTTGGTATTGGTAGGAAGCAGTAAAGGATGCGGTTGTCATGGATTGAATTGTGTCTCCCCCACTAAATTCATATGTTGACGTCCTAGCTACCAATGTAACTGTCTTAAGAGATAGGGTCTTTAAAGAGCTGATTAAGGGGTTGGGCGCAGTGGCTCATGCCTGTAATCCCAGCACTTTGGGAGGCCAAGGTGGGCAGATTACCTGAGGTCGAGAGTTCAAGACCACCCTGGCCAACATGGTGAAACCCCATCTTTACTAAAAATACAAAAATTAGCCAGGCATGGTGGTGGGTGCCTGTAATCCCAGTTACTTGGAAAGCTGAGGCAGGAGAATGGCTTGAACCTGGGAAGGGGAGGTTGCAGTGAGCCAAGATCATGCCACACTGCACTCCATCCTAGGAAACAGAGCAAGATTCCATCTCAAAAAAAAAAAAGCACTCAGGAAACAATCCCTGGCACACAGGCAGTGCTCAGTACTCTACTCTCTGTAAGTGCTCGCTGGGCAAAGGTACACAAATAGGCTCTGGCCTGAGGAACTCAGAGTTACTTAAAATTAAAAAGGCCGCCAGGTGTCTCTATTTTTGCAACTGCTTACCCTTAGCATGCTGTTATTGAGGGCAGAGATTTACTTATCCACTTGAGAAAGGGCTTAGCAAAAGAAAGCACCCAGGAAGAAGGTGCCAAACCACATAGTTTCCCAACACCTTCTCCTGATGCTGGCCATGTGTCAGGATTTACTGACTGACTCTTCATGGGAGCAGTAGTAATAGATTTCTAGAAGTTCTGTTTGGTTCCTTTTCAAATCTGCCATTAAATAGTTTTCTGCTCCCAATAGTGATGTTTTAAGTTTTACATTTTGTGTGCAGAATTTTTTTTTTTTTGAGGCGGAGTTTCGCTCTTGTTACCCGGGCTGGAGTGCAATGGCGCGATCTCGGCTCACCGCAACCTCCGCCTCCTGGGTTCAGGCAATTCTCCTGCCTCAGCCTCCTGTGCGCAGAATTTTTAGAAAGAATTCATGTCTGTGAATTACAGTACCTGAAATCTGCATTCATCTTGATTTTTTTTTTTTTTGAGGTGGAGTCTCGCACTCTCGCTCTGTGGCTCAGGCTGGAGTGCAGTGGCGTGATCTTGGTTTACTTCGTGGTTTCCTGAAGCCGAAGATATATGTGCCTTTCTCAAGAGAGGTTTTTGTTTTGTTTGGGTTTTGGGGCTTTTTTTTTTTTTTTTTGAGACTAAGTCTCTCCGTGTCACCCAGGCTGGAGTGCAATGGCGTAATCTTGGCTCACCACAACCTCCACCTCCAGGGTTCAAGTGATTCTCCTGCCTCAGCCTCCCAAGTAGCTAGAATTACAGGCACATGCCACCATACCCAGCTAATTTTTGTATTTTGGTAGAGACAAGGTTTCACCTTGTTGGCCAGCACGGTCTCAATCTCCTGACCTCGTGATCCGCCCACCTCGACCTGCCAAAGTGCGGGGATTACAGGCGCGAGCCACTTTGCCCAGCCTGAGCTTTCTTGATCTGTTATACCATGCTCTATTCCCTAGGGTACACAAACACTCATCAATAATCAAACTTCCTAAGGAAGAGTTTTAAAAAAGAAATTCTCTTTCCTGCTCCTTCAGCTGTTCTGCTCAGTACTAAGGCAGCCTTTTCCGTAGTTCCATGGGGCCAATGGTATGGGTTGCAAAGTGGATTCATTTCACTTTAGACTTGAGGGCAACACCCCTTGGGGACTCAGCCTACTGTGAGGAGATCTGGTATATGGCTCACCACCTTGGGAGGCCCTGTATTTTCACTTGTGTTCTTCTTGCCCTGTGTGGTTGACAAACTGAAACTCACAGGTTTAATATTGGTAAATACCCTCATGTCATATGTGGCCTTGGCGTGCCAATATCTGATCCTGTTAACCATCTGGTTACCAGCTTTCTCTCCATAATTGGCCTGAGCATTCCATACTTTTAAGCACTTCAGTTTATTTGCTTGTTGATATAGGGTCTCACTCTAGCCCAGGCTGGAGTGCAGTGGCGTGATCACTGCTTACCACAGACTTGACCTCCACAGGCTCAGGTGATCCTCCCAAACTTGTAGTTGGGACTACAAATGTGTGCCACCATGCCTGACTAAATTTTGTATTTTTAGTAGAGACAGGTTTTCACCATGTTTCCCAGGCTTGTCTCAAACTCCTGGGCTCGAGAGATGCATCTACGTTGGCTTCCCAAAGGGCAGGGATTACAGACATGAGCCACTGCACCTCGCAGAACTTCAGTGTTTTGTTTTGTTTTTTATAATTTTTTAGAGACAGGGTTTCATCATGCTGGCCAGGCTGGTCTCGAACTCCTGGCCTCAAGTGATTCGCCTACCTTGGCCTCTCCAAAGTGCTGGGATTACAGGCTTGAGCCACCGCGCCCGGCCTTGTTTTGTTTTTTTATGATTTTTTAGAGACAGGCTTTCATCATGCTGGCCAGGCTGGTCTCGAACTCCTGGCCTCAAGTGATTCACCTGCCTTGGCATCTCAAAGTGTTGGGATTACAGGTATGAGCCTCCACGCCCGGCCAGAACTTCAGTGTTTTTAAGAGGATATTTTAATATATTGTCTAACACAGTCATTATCTTCAAGAAATGATAAACCGAAGAAAGTAGTCTACCATTAGAAAAGAAGAACCCCAGAAAACCCAGTTTCAGAGACAAAATAGGCCCAGCACAACTCCCTCCTTCACTGACCTCTGAAATTGTCCCCTGACACCAAGGCAATAATATCGTAGGTAAATATCATATGGCCCAAATACCAGGGGACACCCTCACAAGTCACAGCCACCCCTCAATATGTAGCTGTTATTCAGTGACAACTCCACACAGTGACGTCATGCTAATGTCACCCATCAATGCTCTGGAAGATGACAACTCAAAACTGTATATTGCTTCGACAAGCAAGTGTTGAGTACCCACCCGGTGCCTAGTGCTGGGGTTACAGGAGAAAACAAGACAAGCAAGATTTCTTCCTTCATAGAATTATAGTTTGGCAAGAGCAATGGACAATGAACACATACCAACCAAATAAGTCCAAAGGGTAAAAAGTTCTATGAAAGAAAAATCACATAAGAACATGGCAGTCAAGCACGGTGGCTCACGCCTGTAATCTCAGCACTTTGGGAGGCCAAGATGGGCAGATCACGAGGTCAGGAGTTCAAGACCAACCTGGCCAATATGGTGAAACCCTGTCTCTACTAAAAATACAAAAATTAGCGGGGTGTGGTGGCATGCGACTATAGTCCCAGCTACTCAGGTGGCTGAGGCAGAAGAATCACTTGAACCCAGGAGGTGGAGGTCGCAGTGAGCTGAGATCGTGCCACTGCACTCCAGCCTGGGCAACAGAGCAAGACCCTGCCTCAAAAAAAAAAAAAGAACCAGGGTAATGAGTCAAGAGTGGACAGTGCTACTTCACATTGGATGTCTTGGAAAGTCTCTCTGATGAGGTGGCATTTGAGCTGGAACCTGAAGGGTGAGAAGAAGCCTGTAAGGGGAAGAACCCAGGATGGTGAATACCAGGAAGGGAAAAAGCAACTGCAAAGACCCTGAGATAGAAGGATTCTTGGCCCAAGGAACAGAAAGGAAGCGCTGGGGTGGAGTGAGGTGGCAAGTGGTGAAACATGGGGTCAGAGAGGGAGACGGGACCAGATTACAGGAGGTCTTCTCTCTTGGGCCTTGGGGAGGAGTTTAGATTCTAAGAATAAATTGAAGCCGGCTGCCAGCACTTTGGGAGGCCGAGGTGGGTGGATCACCTGAGGTCAGGAGTTTGAGACTAGCCTGGCCAACATGGTGAAACCCCATCTCTACTAAAATAAAAATTAGCCGGGCATAGTGGTGGAGACCTGTAGTCCCAGCTACTTGGGAGGCTGAAGCAGGAGAATCGCTTGAACCCGGGGGGCGGAGGTTGCACTGAGCCGAGATCATGCCACTGCACTCCAGCCTGGGCGACAGAGCGAGGCTGTGTCTCAAAACATACATACATACAATACATACATGGAAGTCATTGAGGGACCATGTGACTGACACTCTGAGAAGATCGCTGTGGTCAAGGCTACCCCGGTCAGAACTGTCTCACGTAAAGATGAGGCCCTGCTCCTCCCTGTATCACCACCTGTCGCTCATCCCAGATCTAAGCAGGGCGACTCCTTCTTCAGGAGTCCTCCTTCCAAGCACACGTCTCCTTTTAAACCTTTCAACCTACTCGGGAACCGAACAGGGCCCAAGAGAAAATGCCTTCTGATTCGACAAATAGTGTGAGTGACCTTCTCGGAATCGGGCGGAGCCCACTGTGATTGGTTATAAGCTTTTGTTCTCGTCCAGTCAGACAACTATCTCGATGAGTGCTCTTGTCCCCTGAGACACGTACACTCTCTGATTGGCTCTTCGTGCATGAGTGACGGCAGGCACAGCCTGTAGACACCAGGACGCGGCGGCGCAGGCGGGGGCTGTGGGCGCTGCAGCTGGAATCCCCGGCTGTCAGTGCACCTCCAGCTCCGCACCCTGACCCCGCGCGCAGCTCGCGCTATGGCAGCCCCGCCGCAGCTGCGGGCTCTAATCTTGGCCGTCAACGCACTGCTGCGCAAGCGCCGCTACCACGCTGCATTGGCCTTGCTTAAGGGCTTCCGGAACGGGGCTGTGTGAGTGGGGCCGTCGGGCAGGGCTGGGGCTGAGGGAATGTCCTGGCTGGGGTCGAGGGCGCGAGTTCGAAGACTGACGACGCGGTGCTGTGTGCCTCTAAGTCTCGGAGGTCACTATCTGTGCAACGGGGGCTGGATTTGGGGTTCCGCGCGCCTTCCCAGCTCTGACTGGGGCTCCCACTGCACATTCCATGCTTTGCAACCTGGCCCTCTTGCTCTGATCTCCTCCCATGCCAGCTCCTGTATCTCCTCTTTTGAGTCCAACTCACCTCGCCTCGCGGTGTGCCTTTGGGCCTGTCTGGCCTCAGCGGCCCATCTGCATAATGGGTAACTGGACTCCGGCCTCTAGCCGGCAGGCGGATGCCTCCTGTCTCTGCTGTCCCCAGGAAGCTGCCCATGGGCTCGCATCCTGCTTTTCACTCCTCAACTGTAGGACTCCGTTGCTAAGTCCCCTTTTGCTCAGGGGGCTCCTGGGGCGTGACAATGAATGTAAAAGAAGTTGCAACTATCCTGGCATCTTACCTGCAAGAGAGGAGGTCTTGGGGTCATTGCCCTGGCTGGTGCCTGGAGGGGAACTCAGCCTCCTTTAAACCTACTGCATAACAGCTACCATTTATTGAGGGCCTGTAGTGCCAAAACCAGGGACAAAGCAAAGAACAAGCCAGAGAAAGTGGTTTGTGTGTCCCCCTGGAACTGACATCCTAGTGGCAACATGGTATGGTGGGGAGGATGTGGATGCCTTGGTTTGAACCCTGGTCCCACCTACCCGTTGTTATCTTGAGGAAGTCATTCAGCCTCCCTAAGCCTCAATTTCTGTAAAATGGGCATGGTGGTAGTACTCATACTATCAAGATTGAGCCAATATGTGTGAAATGCTTAGCACAGTCCAAGCATGGTGGCTCCTGCCTGTAATCCCAGCACTTTAGGAGGCCAAGGTGGGTGTATCACCTGAGGTCAGAAGTTCGAGACCAGCCTGGCCAATATGGCTAAACCCTATCTCTACTAAAAATAAAAAAAATTAGCCAGGCATGGTGGCATGTGCCTGTTGTCCCAACTATATGGGAGGCTGAGGCAGGAGAATTGCTTGAACCCAGGAGTGGAGGTTGCAGTGAGCTGAGATTGCGCCACTGCACTCTAGCCTGGGTGACAGAGTGAAATTCTGTCTCAAAAAAAAAAAAAAAAGAAAAAGAAAATAAGCTTCATGAGGCCAGAACTTTATCTATTTTGTTCCTTGGTGTATTACTAGCACCTGGTATGTAGTAGTTTTTCAAATATTGAATGAATGAATGAATAAGTGTGCAAGATAAGAATTGCCATTGTCCCCATTTTCCAGATGAAAAGGCGGTAGCTCAGAGGTAGACATATTGCTCATGGTCACAGCACTTTGTCAGGGTTGGAACCAGGATTCAAACTCAGGGATGCCTGGCCCCGGTGCCAGGCTCTTGACTTCCAAGGGCACTCAGAGTCAGGTAGAAGGTGGTTCCCACTGGGCCTGGCCAGATTATATCAGCTACTTCTTGATGTGCCCTGAGATAGCATCAGTGGCCCTTTTGCCAAGCTTTTTCCAGGCAAAGCAAGAGTAAACAGGAGTGACACAGGCTGTGGTGCTAGCAGGCATTGCCCAATGCTAGCTTTGTATACCTGCCCCAACTCTGACCCTCCCTGTGACCTCCAGGGACCTTCCCAACCAGGGCAGGCACTTTTTGGGATTGTGCTGTAATTGTAGTTCCTTTATTTTATTTTATTTTGTAGTTCCTTTATTATTATTATTATTTTAAGATGGTGTCTCACTCTGTCACCCAGGCTGGAGTGCAGTGACACCATCTCGGCTCACTGCAACCTCCACCCTCTGGGTTCAAGTGATTCTCCTGCCTCAGCCTCCCAAATACCTGGGATTACAGGCACCCGCCACCACGCCTAGCTAACTTTTATATTTTTAGTAGAGACAGGGTTTCACCATGTTGGCCAGGCTGGTCTTGAACTCCTGACTCAGTTGATCCACCTGCCTGGGTCTCCCAAAGTGCTGGGATTACAGGAGTGAGCCACCATGCCTACGCTAGTTACTTCATTTTAAAAGTTGAGTAACCCTTCATCTTTTCTGGTCTCAGTTTAGAAATGAAATGGAAGCAATAAACTCACCCATATAGGGGTGCTCTAAGGCAATGATTCCATTAATGCTTAGTGCTAAGACACTGGGCCTGTCTGTAAGGAACTTGAGTCCAAGGGGGAACTGACAGTTACACCTCCACTGCTGTACCAGATGATCAGGAATGCTTTACAGAAGAGGTGATAGTGATATTTTGGAGGCTGAGTTGGGGTTTGTCAGGGAGAGAAGGGCATCCAGGCAGAGGGAATGTCTTCAACAATGGCCTGGAGGTGAAAAAGAATATTCTGTTTGTGAAGAGAGCCATCGATTAAGGGGCGCCAACTTAGATGACCAGCATATTTGAACTATGTAAAATTTATCTCACTTTAATGTTCTGTCCCTAAATATTTTTCAGTGTGCATCTCTAAAAATAAGGTCATGTCCCATATGGCTAAATTATTGTGATTACACTGATTTTTTTTATTTATTTATTTTTAAGACAGAGCCTTGCTCTGTTGCTCAGGCTGGAGTGCAGTGGTGCAATCTCAGCTCACTGCAACCTCTATCTCCCAGGTTCAAGCGATTCTCCTGCCTCAGCCTCCCAAGTAGCTGGGATTACAAGCACCTACCACCACCCTCAGCTAATTTTTTGTATTTTTAGTAGAGACGGGATTTTGCCACGTTGGCCAGGCTGTTTGTTCTCAAACTTCTAACCTCAAGTGTATTGCCCACCGCAGCCTCCCAAAGTACTGGGATTACAGGCATGAGCCACCTCACCCGGTCTCATGATTATATTTTCTTTTTTCTTTTTATTTTTTTATAGATGGGATTTCACCATGTTGGTCAGGCTGGTCTTGAACTCCCGACCTCAGGTGAACTGCCTGCCTTGGCCTCCAAAGTGCTTGGATTACAGGCGTGAGCCACCGTGCCTGGCCGATTATATTTTCTTTTAAGAGATGGTTTTCTCCTTGTTGGTCAGGCTGGTCTCGAACTCCTGACCTTTAGTGATCCACCCACCTCAGTCTCCCAAAGTGCTGGAATTACAGGCATGAGCCACCACGCCTGGCCCCATGATTACATTTAATAAACTAATAACAATTCTATAATATTGATTATTAGCGAGTTAACAGTCCCATTGTCCCAGTCTTCCTGCAAATGTCCTCTATAGCTAGTCTGTCCAGGCCAGAACTCTCCAGGACATCACATTGTATCAGTCGTTTAAGTCCTTTTTATTTCAGGGCGGTAATCAACTTCTGTCTGAGTTCGAGCACTTTGAGAGGGAGCTTGGCAGATGCAGGGAGTTGGGGGTGCTGTGTCTGAAGTATAAGAAAGGACCCTTTAGCCATGGCTAGCCAGAGGAGGCTGAGGGCCTCTTCAGGAGAAAGAGCTGTGGCTTTGGAGGGAGCTGGGGGAGGAGAGCTTGCTGGGGCTGGGATGGGGGCCCTGGCCCTCCTGCCCACTTCTAGGCAGGGGAGAAGAGGAGGGAGTCGGCATGGCCTCTACAACAACACTGGCTTTAAATTAACATTTTTTTGCTTTTCTTTTTTGAGGTGGAATCTTGCTCTGTCACCTAGGCTTGAGTGCAGTGGCGTAATCTCAGCTTACTGCAACCTCTGCCTCTGGGGTTCTAAGTGATTCTCCTGCCTCAGCCTCCCAAGTAGCTTGGATTACAGGCATGCACTGCCATGCCGGGCTAATTTTTTTAGTTTTAGTAGAGAGGGGGTTTCACCATGTTGGCCAGGCTGGTCTTGAACTCGTCGCTTCAGGTGATCCGCCCACCTTGGTCTCCCAAAGTGCTGGGATTCCAGGCATGAGCCATCACGCCCAGCCTGGCCAACATAGTGAAACCCTGTCTCTACTAAAAATACAAAAATTAGCTGATGTGGTGGCACATGCCTGTAATCCCAACTATGGTAGGTTGTGGCAGCCGGCCAGGAGGGCTGAGGCAGGAGAATTGCTTGAACCCAGGAGGTAGAGGTTGCAGTGAGCTGAGATTGAATCCAGCCTGGGCTATAGAGCAAGACTCCATCTCAATAAAATATATAAAATAAATAAATAAATAAATCAAATTTTTTAAAAATTAGGTAACACATGCACAAAAGGCATAACAAGTTAGATGCTGCCATCCCATCCACATTATCCCTCTGTCACCCAGTCCCCCTCCCTGGAGGCAATCCCTGTGTCCAGTCGTCTGTGCCGTCTGTGCCGTCTGTGCCGTCTGTCCCGTCTGTGCCGTCTGTGCCGTCTGTCCCGTCTGTCCAGTCTGTGCCATCTGTGCCGTCTGTCCAGTCTGTGCCGTCTGTCCAGTCTGTGCCGTCTGTGCCGTCTGTGCCGTCTGTGCCGTCTGTCCAGTCTGTGCCGTCTGTGCCGTCTGTCCAGTCTGTGCCGTCTGTCCAGTCTGTCCAGTCTGTGCCGTCTGTGCCGTCTGTGCCGTCTGTCCCGTCTGTCCAGTCTGTGCCGTCTGTGCCGTCTGCCGTCTGTCCAGTCTGTGCCGTCTGTCCAGTCTGTGCCGTCTGTGCCGTCTGTGCCGTCTGTCCAGTCTGTGCCGTCTGTGCCGTCTGTCCAGTCTGTGCCGTCTGTGCCGTCTGTCCAGTCTGTGCCGTCTGTGCCGTCTGTGCCGTCTGTCCAGTCTGTGCCGTCTGTCCAGTCTGTGCCGTCTGTGCCGTCTGTGCCGTCTGTCCAGTCTGTGCCGTCTGTGCCGTCTGTGCCGTCTGTGCCGTCTGTGCCGTCTGTCCAGTCTGTGCCGTCTGTGCCGTCTGTCCAGTCTGTGCCGTCTGTCCAGTCTGTGCCGTCTGTGCCGTCTGTCCAGTCTGTGCCGTCTGTCCAGTCTGTGCCGTCTGTCCAGTCTGTGCCGTCTGTCCAGTCTGTGCCGTCTGTGCCGTCTGTCCAGTCTGTGCCGTCTGTGCCGTCTGTCCAGTCTGTGCCGTCTGTGCCGTCTGTCCAGTCTGTGCCGTCTGTGCCGTCTGTCCAGTCTGTGCCGTCTGTGCCGTCTGTCCAGTCTGTGCCGTCTGTGCCGTCTGTGCCGTCTGTCCAGTCTGTGCCGTCTGTGCCGTCTGTCCAGTCTGTGCCGTCTGTGCCGTCTGTGCAGTCTGTGCCGTCTGTGCCGTCTGTGCCGTCTGTCCAGTCTGTGCCGTCTGTCCAGTCTGTGCCGTCTGTGCCGTCTGTGCCGTCTGTCCAGTCTGTGCCGTCTGTGCCGTCTGTCCAGTCTGTGCCGTCTGTGCCGTCTGTGCCGTCTGTCCAGTCTGTGCCGTCTGTGCCGTCTGTCCAGTCTGTGCCGTCTGTGCCGTCTGTCCAGTCTGTGCCGTCTGTGCCGTCTGTCCAGTCTGTGCCGTCTGTGCCGTCTGTGCCGTCTGTCCAGTCTGTGCCGTCTGTCCAGTCTGTGCTGTCTGTGCCGTCTGTGCCGTCTGTCCAGTCTGTGCCGTCTGTGCCGTCTGTGCCGTCTGTCCAGTCTGTGCCGTCTGTGCCGTCTGTCCAGTCTGTGCCGTCTGTCCAGTCTGTGCCGTCTGTGCCGTCTGTCCAGTCTGTGCCGTCTGTGCCGTCTGCCGTCTGTCCAGTCTGTGCCGTCTGTCCAGTCTGTGCCGTCTGTGCCGTCTGTGCCGTCTTAGTCTTCCTCCAGAAATATCGTGTACCTATGCAAACACAGACTTGTGTTCTCTCCACACACCTTTTTAAAAAGTTTTATGTTGAAATAATCTTAGATTTATAATTTCCTCATTTTATACAATTATTGCTGTGCTATACACACATCTGTACACCTTGTTCTAACCGTACCTCCATATCAGTGTGCATAAAGCTGGCTCTTTTTTTTTTTCCAAAATATAAAGATGGGGTCTTGCTCTGTTGCCCAGGCTAGAGTGCAGTGGTGCAATCCTAGTTCACTGTAGCCTGGAACTACTGGGATCAAGCAATCCTTGCACCTGAGCCTCCCAAGTAGCTAGGACTACAGGCACACAGCACCACATCTGGCTAATTTTTCATACTTTTTGTAGAGACAGGGTATCACCATGTTGCCCAGGCTCTCGAACTCCTGGGCTCAAGTGATCCACCCACCTCAGCCTCCCAAAGTGTTGGGATTACAGGCATGAGCCACTGAACCTGGCCAGATTTTTTTTTTTTTTTGGTAGAGATGGGATCTTACCATGTTGCTCAGGCTGGTCTTGAACTCCTGGCCTTAAGCAGTCCTCCCACCTTAGTCTCCCAGAGTGCTGGGATTACAAGCATGAGCCACCACACCCTGTCTTGGACACGGGTTTGATTCTAGTCTTTTGTTTCAAGCAAGCCTGCAGTGAACGTTCATGTGAATTTGGGAGACAACAACATATGGCTGATGACCATTGTCTCAAGAAGACTGTCTAGCATTTTTAGACCTTGTAGCCTGGTAAGACCAGGGTCAGGTATCTGGAGAACTTAGGCATAGGAGTAGGGGTGGAGGTGTTCAATAAAGAAGAATAAGAAGAGACACTAATATTCATTGAGCTAGGAACTTTTACATGTGCGTAACTGCCAAAAGCCACTCCGTGAAATGGAGATTGGGAAAAGGGAGGCTCAGAGAGATTAAATGATTTATCCAAGTTCACACAGCAAAACTTGGCAGGGCTTTGGCACCAAATACTGCTGTCGTTCTACTATTCATTCGAGTATGGTTAAAACAGCGAAAGCCAGCAGGGTCTCATTCACATCATCCCCAGATCCCTAAATGAGGAAGGAAAAGGACGGGTGGGGGAAGAGGTGTGAATCTTAAAAAGAGGGCATTATGTAACACTTAAAATACTTAATAATTGTGGGCCAGGCGCAGTGGCTCATACCTGTAACTTAGCACTTTGGGAGCCTAGGGGGGTGGATCACCCGAGGTCAGGAGTTCAAGACCAGTCTGGCCAACATGGTGAAACCCCGTCTCTACTAAAAATACAAAAAATGAGCAGGGCCTGGTGGCACATGCCTGTAGTCCCAGTTACTCAGGAGGCTGAGGCAGGAGAATTGCTTGAACCCAGGAGGTGAAGGTTGTAGTGAACCGAGATTGTGCCACTGCACTCCAGCCTGGGTGACACAGCAAGACTCCATCTCAAAAAAAAAAAAAATTTAATTAATTAATAATTGCTAAAGTAGGGGGCAGGACCTAAAAAAAATAATAATTGTTAAAGCAATTATCATTATAGATAATCTGGAAGTCCAGAATTATAGATAATTATAGATTATATAATTCTGGAAGTCTAGAAAATTATATATTATATATATATAATTCCAAAATTATAGATAATTCTGGAAGTCTAGAAAAGTTTAAGAAGCAAGCAGAAATAAATTTTATATTCCTCCAGTGCAGTGGTCATTGCTAATAACATAGTGACGTATTTCCTTCCAACTTTTTTTTCTTTTTCTTTTTTTTTTTTTTTGAGACAGAATTTTGTTCTGTTGCCCAGGCTGGAATGCAGTGGCATGATCTGCAACCTCTGCCTCTTAGGTTCAAGTGATTCTCCTGCCTCAAACTCCCAAGTGGCTGGGACTATAGGCTCAAACGACCACACCCAGCTAATTTTTCTATTTTTAGTAGAGATGGGATTTTACCATGTTAGCCAGGATGATCTCGATCTGTTGGCCTCATGATCTGCCCACCTTGGCTTCCCAAAGTGCTGAGATTACAGGCGTGAGCCACCGTGCCTGGCCTATCTTCCAGCTTTTTAAATTTTATTTTATTTTATTTACTTATTTTATTATTATTATTTTTTAAAGACAGGGTTTCACCATGTTGGTCAGGCTGGTCTTGAACTCCCAACCTCAGGTGATCCGCCTGCCTTGGCCTCCAAACTGCTTGGATTACAGGCGTGAGCCACCACGCCCAGCTAATTATTTATTTTTTTTATGAGACAGAGTCTTGCTCTGTTGCCAGGCTGGAGTGCAGCAGTGCAATCTCGGCTCACTGCAACCTCCACCTCCTGGGTTCAAGCGATTCTTCCACCTCAGCCTCCCGAGTAGCTGGGACCACAGGTGTGTGCCACCATGCCCAGCTAGTTTTTGTATTTTTAGTGGAGACGGGGTTTCACCGTGTTGGCCAGGATGGTCTCGATCTTTTGACCTCGCCTAATTCGGCCTCCCAAAGTGCTGGGATTACAGGCGTGAGGCGTGAGCCACCACGCCCAGCCGAGATTGATGTTTTTAAAAGATGAGAGTATCTGCAATGGGAACGCCAGGATGGAGCAGAGAGAGCAATTCCACAAAGCCAGTTGAGCAAGGATGGTGAACATTTTACATGCACGTCTCCTTCATTAATATTACAGGGCCAGGCACAGTGGCTCACACCTGTAATCCCAGCACTTTGGGAGGCCAAGGTGGGCAGGACAGATCATCTGAGGTCAGGAGTTTGAGACCAGCCTGACCAACATGGAGAAACCTTGTCTCTACTAAAAATACAAAAATTAGGCAGGCATGGTGGCGTGTGCCTGTCATTCCAGCTACTTGGGAGGCTGAGGCAGGAGAATCACTTGAACCCAGGAGGTGAAGGCTACAGTGAGCTGAGATCGTACCACTGTACTCTAGCCTGGGCAACAAAGTGAGACTCCATCTCAAAAAAAAAAAGAAATTATAACCAGCTCTCTGAGGTTTAACATCCCTTTTTATGCTGAGCATGATTGATGGCACACACCTGTAGTCTCAGCTACTCAGAGAGCTGAGGCTGGAGAATCGCTAGAACCCAGGATTTCAAGTCTACAGTGAGCTATGATCGCACTCACTGGGTTACACTGTGAGGCTCTGTCTCTAAATAATTAAAAATAAACATCCCTATTATGGGGAAACTCAGGCTCTGAGAAGTTAAAGGACATGCGTGAGGCCATACTACCAGGAAGTGTCAGGGCCAGGATTTGCATCCAGCATGATTTCCCCTCCCAAAGTTATGTTAGAATTTGGGATGGGGAGAGAGAACAAGGGGTCAAAAGGAGAGCCCAAAAAGAAAGTGTGACACAGCAACATCGCAGTAACTGTTTTCTTCTGTTTCTACAGCTATGGAGCCAAAATCCGGGCCCCTCACGCACTGGTCATGACCTTTCTCTTCCGGAATGGCAGGTACGCATCCCTCAAAATGGAAGAGAATGTGGTCAGCCCTCAGTGCCAGGACAGTTGTAATACCTTCCTAGCTGGGTCTACCCTGCCCCCCGATCATGCCTCCTAAAGTCCAACTCTTTTTTTTGTTTTGTGTTTTGTTGTTGTTGTTGAGATGGAGTCTCTCTGTATCATCCAGGCTGGAGTGCAGTGGTGATCTTGGTTCACTGCAACCTCCACCTCCCGGGTTCAAGTGATTCTCCTGCTTCAGTCTCCTGAGTAGCTGGGATTACAGGCACCCACCATCACACCCAGCTACTTTTTGTATTTTTAGTAGAAATGGAGTTTTACCATATTGGCCAGGCTGGTCTTGAACTCCTGACCTCAGGTAATTACCTGCCTGGGGCTCCCAAAGTGCTGGGATTACAGGTGTGAAACACTGTGCCCGGCCCTGAAGTCCAACTCTGATCCCATTATCCCTGCTTGAAAATTTCCTGTGCCCTCCAGAGAAGCCCAGCTTCTTGGCCTGGCCTTCAGGTCTTTCTGTAGTCCAGCCTCAGCTAACCCCCTGTTTTGTCTACCCTGGGGTGCCCTTGGCACACAGAACTCACTGCCATTTTATGTACATGCCATGTGTAGCTCCACCTGCAGACATCTACTCATGCAACACCCCCTGCCAGGGGTGCCTTGTCTGTCACTCCATCTTTACTTCCCTCCTGGCAATCCAGACCAGTTCTCTGAGGATCACTTCTGCTGCAAAGCTCCCTGATCTCTTGTCTCTTGCTCAAGTGTCTTCACCTTCTTCTCATCTCCCATAGCTTTTCCCTCGAGGCGCTCCTTAGAAAATGGGTTTCAGCCGGGCGCGGTGGCTCACGCCTGTAATCCCAGCACTTTGGGAGGCCGAGGTGGGCAGATCACGAGGTCAAGACATCGAGACCATCCTGGCCAACATGATGAAACCCTGTCTCTACTAAAATACAAAAATTAGCTGGGCGTGGTGACACACACCTGTAGTCCCAGCTACTCAGGAACCCAGGAGGCGGAGGTTGCAGTGAGCCAAGATTGTGCCACGGCACTCCAGCCTGGTACCTGGCGATAAAGCAAGACTCTGTCTCAAAAAAAAAAAAGAAAGAAAACGGGTTTCGGTCTAGTGTTTAATGCATATAGGCTCATGTGAATGTACAGGAATCATGCACTGGCAGCCTCCAGTAGTCTCAGCTACCTGTAAGATGTGCTCATTTTGTATTTTTTTTTTTTCCCCCCGAGACGGAGTTTCGCTCGTTACCCAGGCTGGAGTGCAATGGTGCGATCTCGGCTCACCGCAACCTCCGCCTCCTGGGTTCAGGCAATTCTCCTGCCTCAGCCTCTCGAGTAGCTGGGATTACAGGCACGCGCCACCATGCCCAGCTAAGTTTTTGTATTTTTAGTAGAGACGGAGTTTCACCATGTTGACCAGGATGGTCTCGATCTCTTGACCTTGTGATCCACCCGCCTCGGCCTCCCAAAGTGCTGGGATTACAGGCTTGAGCCACCGCGCCCGGCTCATTTTGTATTTTTATTTATTTATTTCTATTTGTTTTTGTTGTTGTTGTCCTCCAAGTCTATTTTTTTTTTTTTTTTTTTGAGATGAAGTCTTGTTCTGTCACTCAGGCTGGAGTGAGGATTAAGAATTTGCTACCAGGCTGGGTGCGGTGTCTCATGCCTGTAATCCCAGCACTTTGGGAGGCCGAGGTGAGTGGTACACTTGAGGTCAGGATTTCGAGACCAGCCTGACCAACATATTGAAACGGTGCCTCTGCTAAAAATACAAAGATTAGGTCAGGTACGATGGCTCACGCCTGTAATCCCAGCACTTTTGGGAGGCCGAGGGACAGTGAGAGCAGTTGGCTCTCACCCCATGCAAACAAAGGCCCCAGTGTTGCCAGTTCTAAGGCAGGAAATCTGGATTTCCATGTTGTTCCCAACTATTTTTTTTTTTTTTTGAGATGGAGTCTGGCTCTGTCACTCAGGCTGGAGTGCGGTGGTGTGATCTCGGCTAACTGCAACCTTCATCTCCCGGGTTCAAGCAGTTCTCCTGCCTCAGCTTTCCTAGTAGCTGGGATTACAGGCACACGCCTCCATACCCAGCTAATTTTTTGTATTTTTAGTAGAGATGGGGTCTTACCATGTTAGCCAGGATGGTCTTGATCTCCTAACCTCATGATCTGCCCGCCTCCCAAAGTGCTGGGATTACAGGTGTGAGCCACCACACTGGGGTTTTTGTGTGTGTGTGTGAGACAGAGCCTCGCTTTGTTGCCAGGCGCCAGGCTGGAGTGCAATGGCGCGATCTCAGCTCACTGCAACCTTCGACTCCCGGGTTCAAGCAATTCTCCTGCCTCAGCCTCCTGAGTAGCTGGGACTACAGGCATGCGCCACCACACCCAGCTAATTTTTGTATTTTTTAGTAGAGACAGGGTTTCACCATGTTGGCCAGATGGTCTCGATCTCTTGACTTCATGATCTGCCCACCTCAGCCTCCCAAAGTGCTGGAATTACAGGCGTGAGCTACCACTCCCAGCTTATTTTTTATTTTATTTATTTTTTAATTTCTCTCTCTGTTGCTCAAACTGGAGTGCAGTGGCATGATCTTGGCTCAGCCTCCCAAAGTGTTGGGGTTACAGGTCTGAGCCACTGCATTCAGCCTCTAGTGATTTTTTTTTTTTTCATTCAGAGTCTGGCTCTGTTGCTCAGGCTGGAGTGCAGTAGTAGGATCTTGGCTCATTGGAACCTCTACCTCCCAGATTCAAGCAGTTCTGCTGCCTCAGCCTCCCGAGTAGCTGGGACTACAGATGCCCACCGACACGCCCAGCTAATTTTTGTATTTTTAGTAGGGACAGGGTTTCACCGTGTTAGCCAGGATGGTCTTAATGTCCTGACTTCGTGATCCACCTGCCTTGGCTCCCAGAGTGCTGGGATTACAGGCATGAGCCACCGTGCCCAGACGGGGCGATTTATTTTATCTCTTAAAAATTAGCCAGGTGTGGTGGTGGGTACCTGTAGTCCCAGTTACTCAGGAGACTGAGGCAGGAGAATTGCTTGAACCTGGGAGGCGGAGGTTGCCATGAGCCGAGATTGTACCACTGCACTCCAGCCTGGGTGACAGAGTGAGAAAAAAATAAATCACCTCCTCCACTTAAATGTTCACTTCTCATAAAGACCAAACTCAGCAAGGCCCCAGTGCCTCTGCCCTGAACCCTCCCTACAAGTTCTCTGGTTCTCTGCCCATGGCCAAAGTGGCTTCTCTCTGCTCCTTTCCTCATACTCCCTGCCCTTCCTCAGTGCCTGGCACGGGCTGAGCCCTCTGCCTGGGTTGCAGCTCTCCTTCCCTCTTGACCTCCTTGACTCTTCCTCATCAGGAAGATCCCAGCACCATCTCTTGTCAAGGTCAATGTTCTTTTTGTGATTATTTATTTCACATTTTCCTCTCCCAGTAGATCATAAGCCCCCTGAGGGCAGTGAGCAGATCTGTTTCTTCTCAGAATCCTATTCCCAGATCCAGCACATGGCAGACACTCATTCCTTCACATGTTTACTCAAGAAAACATTTAGTGAGCAACTACTATGTCCCAGACCCTGCAGATGAACAAGCCAGATCCAGACACCACCCTCCTGTAGCTGCTACTGGGGTGGGGGAAGGTAATAAACAAACATATAAATATCAGGTGGTGACCAGAGCTAGGAAGGAAAAGAAAATTAGCATCAAGACAGGATGTGATGGGTATTCTGTTATGTAGGGTGATCAAGGAAGGTCTCCTTGGGGAGGTGGTACTGAGTCAAGGCCTGAATCAAGGGTGAGAACAGCCCCAAAGACTTGAAGGGTGGAGGCCGGGGACTGAATCAGCATTACCCCCGACCTCCTTGGCTGGTTGTTTCACATGAGCACTGTGTAAAGGCCCTTGGGGCTCCTGTGTTTGTGCAGCCTCCGGGAGAAGCTTCGGGCCGTCCTGCAGGCTACATACATCCACTCCCGGAACCTGGCGTGCTTTGTGTTCACCTACAAGGGTCTCTGTGCCCTGCAGTCCCGCATCCAAGGCAAGACCTACCAGGTGCACTCATTCCTGGCCGCCTTCCTTGGGGGTTTGCTGGTGTTTCGAGAAAACAATAACATCAACAGCCAGGTAAAGAGCTTTCTGAGGTGAAGGTGGTGAGGGGGCGTGGTTCAGTAGACAGGTGGGGGTGACAAAAGTGGGTGTGGTTCCATATAGAGGGAGGAGTGGGGAAAGGGGGCCTGATTCTACATAGCAGTAGGGGTGGGGGAAGGGACATGGTTCGGTGTAGAGGTGGGAGTGGGGGAGGAGGCGTGGTTCTGTATAGAGGTGGGGTGGGGGAAGGGGCATGGTCCTGTATAGAGGGGCATGATTTTCTGTACAGCAGTGGGGGAAAGGCATGGTTCAGTGTGGAGGTGGGAGAGGGGGAAGGGGGCGTGATTCCGTATAGCGGTGGGAGTAGGGGAAGAGGCATGGTTCATTGTAGAGGTGGGAGTGGGGAAAGAAGGCGTGGGTTCTGTACAGAGGTGGGGTGGGGGAAGGGGCATGGTCCTGTATAGAGGGGCATGATTTTCTGTACAGCAGTGGGGGAAAGGCATGGTTCAGTGTGGAGGTGGGAGAGGGGGAAGGGGGCGTGATTCCATATAGCGGTGGGAGTGGGGGAAGAGGCATGGTTCAGTGTAGAGGTGGGAGTGGGGAAAGAAGGCGTGGGTTCTGTACAGAGGTGGGGTGGGGGAAGGGGCATGGTCCTGTATAGAGGCAGGGATGGGGGAAGGGCTGTGGTTCAGTGTAGAGGTAGGGGTGGGGGAAGAGGCATGGTGGGGGAAGAGGCATGGTGGGGGAAGAGGCAGGAGTGGGGGTAGGGGCGTGGTTCAGTGTAGAGGTGAGAGTGGGGAAAGAGGATGTTGTCCGGTATAGAGGTAGGGTAAGGGGGCATGGTTCTGTATAGAGGTGGGGCTAGAGGAGGGGGCCCTGGTTCAGTATAGAGGTTGGGGTGTAGGTGATGAAGATGGTAAGCTCTTGGCTTTTTTTTTTTTGAAACGGAGTTTTGCTCTAGTTGCCTAAGCTGGAGCTGGAGTGCAATGGCCCTATCTCGGCCCATTGCAACCTCCACTTTCCAGGTTCAAGCGATTCTCCTGTCTCAGCCTCCCAAGTAGCTGGGATTACAGGCATGAGCCACCACGCCGGGTTAATTTTGTATTTTTAGTAGAGATGGGGTTTCTCCATGTTTGTCAGGCTGGTCTCAAACTCCCAACCTCAGATGATCCTCCCACCTCGGCCTCCCAAAGTGCTGGGATTACAGGCATGAGCCACTGCATCCTTTTTTTTTTTGAGACAGAGTCTAGCTCTGTTGCTTAGGGTGGAGTGCAGTGGTGCTATTTTGGGTTACTATAATCTCCGCCTGCCAGGTTCGAGCGATTCTCCTACTTCAGCTTTCTGTATTTACCGGCACCCGCCACCATGACCAGCTAATTTTTTTATTTTTGGCTGGTCTTGAACTCCTGACCTCGAGATCTGCCAGCCTTGGCGACCCAAAGTGCTGAGATTACAAGCATGAGTCACTGCGCCCGGCAGCTCTTGGCTCTTTTACATGATCTGTGACTCAATAATCCCCGTGTGACCTTGGGAAGGTCACTTCCCTCTCAGTTTTTCCATCTGTAATTTCATGGTTCCCAAAATCAAAGTATCTGCTGCTCTCTGGGGCAAAGATTGTTTTTAAAAACCACTCTGTAGTGAAATTAGGGGGAAAAAATAACCCTGAAGTAAGGTTTTCCATAAAACAAAACAATGCACTCTAAAAAGTGTCTCTCATTCTGTGACTTGTCATTTTTCTGAGTTAAAGTTCCCTTTTGTTATGAAATGATGATGAATAAGAGACTAAATGCTAGTTGTTGGGTTTTCTGTTTTTTTTTAGTTGGAGGCTCTCTCTGTTGCCCAGGCTGGAGTGCAGTTGTGTGATCTCAGCTCACTACAACCTCCACTTCCTGGGTTAAAGCAGTTGTCCTATTTGAGGCTCCCGAGTAGCTGGGCCTACAGGCGCATGCCACCACATCTGGCTAAGTTTTGTATTTACTTAGTAGAAATGGGGTTTCACCATATTGGTCAGGCTGGTCTCAAACTCCTGCCTTCAGATCATGCACCTGCCTCGGCCTCCTAAAGTGCTGGGATTACAGGCTTGAGCGACCTCGCCTGGTGGAATGTTCTTTGGCAACATGAAAAGTTGCCACCCTCTCTACGTGCCTCCTCAAATTTCTTAAATATTTATAAATTGTAAAAATAATTTTTAGGCCAGGCGTGGTGGCCCATCTCCATTAAAAATGCAAAAAAAAAAAAAAAAAAAGGCATGATGGTCGCAGCTGCTTAGGAGGCTGAGACAGGAGAATCTCTTGAATGTGGGAGGCAGAGGTTGCAGTGAACCAAGGTAGTGCTGCCGCACACCAACCTGGGTGACAGAGCAAGCCTCCATCTCAAAAAAAAGAAAAAAATGTTTAACCATTTTTTAGCAGCTCACATATAATCCTGGCACTTTGGGAGGCTGAGGGGGGAAGATGGCTTGAGGCCAGGAGTTTGAGACCAGCTCAGGCAACACAGCAAGATCCCATGATTTTTTAAATGTAATTTAATTTTATACACACACATACATACATACATATATTTTTAAGTAGAGACGGGGTTTCTCCATGGTGGTCAGGCTGTTCTCCAACTCCCGACCTCAGGACATCATGAAAAATCAGAAAATAAGTTGAGGGCTGGGTGCAGTCGCTTATGCCTGTAATCTCAACACTTTCTGAGGCTGAGGCTGGTGGATCATTTGAGGTTAGGAGATCAAGACCAGCTTGGCCAACATGGTAAAACCCCCACCTCTATACTGAACCACACCCCTTCCCCCACTCCTACCACTACACTGAACCCACCCCTTCCCCCACTCCTACCTCTACACTGAACCACGCCCCTTCCCCCACTCCTACCACTACACTGAACCACGCCCCTTCCCCCACTCCTGCCTCTACACTGAACCACGCCCCTTCCCCCACTCCTACTTCTACACTGAACCCACCCCTTCCCCCACTCCTACCACTACACTGAACCACACCCCTTCCCCCACTCCTACCACTACACTGAACCACGCCCCTACTCCCGCTCCTACCTCTACACTGAACCACACCCCTTCCCCCACTCCTACCTCTACACTGAACCCACCCCTTCCCCCACTCCTACCACTACACTGAACCCACCCCTTCCCCCACTCCTACCTCTACACTGAACCACACCCCTTCCCCCACTCCTACCACTACACTGAACCACGCCCCTACTCCCGCTCCTACCTCTACACTGAACCACACCCCTTCCCCCACTCCTACCTCTACACTGAACCCACCCCTTCCCCCACTCCTACCTCTACACTGAACCCACCCCTTCCCCCACTCCTACCTCTACACTGAACCCACCCCTTCCCCCACTCCTACTTCTACACTGAACCACGCCCCTACTCCCGCTCCTACCTCTACACTGAACCCACCCCTTCCCCCACTCCTACCACTACACTGAACCACGCCCCTTCCCCCACTCCTACTTCTACACTGAACCACGCCCCTTCCCCCACTCCTACTTCTACACTGAACCACGCCCCTTCCCCCACTCCTACTTCTACACTGAACCACGCCCCTTCCCCCACTCCTACCTCTACACTGAACCCACCCCTTCCCCCACTCCTACCTCTACACTGAACCACGCCCCTACTCCCGCTCCTACCTCTACACTGAACCCACCCCTTCCCCCACTCCTACCTCTACACTGAACCACGCCCCTTCCCCCACTCCTACCACTACACTGAACCCACCCCTTCCCCCACTCCTACCACTACACTGAACCACACCCCTTCCCCCACTCCTACCACTACACTGAACCACGCCCCTTCCCCCACTCCTACCACTACACTGAACCCACCCCTTCCCCCACTCCTACCTCTACACTGAACCACGCCCCTACTCCCGCTCCTACCTCTACACTGAACCCACCCCTTCCCCCACTCCTACTTCTACACTGAACCACGCCCCTACTCCCGCTCCTACCTCTACACTGAACCACCCCTTCCCCCACTCCTACCACTACACTGAACCACGCCCCTTCCCCCACTCCTACCACTACACTGAACCCACCCCTTCCCCCACTCCTACCTCTACACTGAACCACGCCCCTTCCCCCACTCCTACTTCTACACTGAACCACGCCCCTTCCCCCACTCCTACTTCTACACTGAACCACGCCCCTTCCCCCACTCCTACTTCTACACTGAGCCCCGCCCCTTCCCCCACTCCTACCTCTACATTGAACCACGCCCCTTCCCCCACTCCTACTTCTACACTGAACCACGCCCCTTCCCCCACTCCTACTTCTACACTGAGCCACGCCCCTTCCCCCACTCCTACCTCTACACTGAACCCACCCCTTCCCCCACTCCTACTTCTACACTGAACCACGCCCCTTCCCCCACTCCTACTTCTACACTGAGCCACGCCCCTTCCCCCACTCCTACCTCTACACTGAACCCACCCCTTCCCCCACTCCTACTTCTACACTGAACCACGCCCCTTCCCCCACTCCTACTTCTACACTGAGCCCACCCCTTCCCCCACTCCTACTTCTACACTGAACCACGCCCCTTCCCCCACTCCTACTTCTACACTGAACCACGCCCCTTCCCCCACTCCTACTTCTACACTGAGCCACGCCCCTTCCCCCACTCCTACTTCTACACTGAGCCCCGCCCCTTCCCCCACTCCTACCTCTACATTGAACCACGCCCCTTCCCCCACTCCTACTTCTACACTGAACCACGCCCCTTCCCCCACTCCTACTTCTACACTGAACCACACCCCTTCCCCCACTCCTACTTCTACACTGAACCACGCCCCTTCCCCCACTCCTACTTCTACACTGAACCCACCCCTTCCCCCACTCCTACTTCTACACTGAGCCACGCCCCTTCCCCCACTCCTACTTCTACACTGAGCCCCGCCCCTTCCCCCACTCCTACCTCTACATTGAACCACGCCCCTTCCCCCACTCCTACTTCTACACTGAGCCACGCCCCTTCCCCCACTCCTACTTCTACACTGAGCCCCGCCCCT